CTGAAAGACACCGTATTGGGGCTGAGAAGACGGCTCAGCTTATAAAGCGCTTAATGCACAAACATGAGGGCCTGAGCTTGTGGCCAGCACAGTGTAAGGCTGGGCACAGTGGTTCATATTTGTAACCCTGCTGCAGGGGAGTTAGAGACAGGAGGATCCTGGGGCCTCATTGGCCAGACAGCTTAACCCAATCAGCAAGAGTCAGTGAGAGCCCTGGTCTCAAAAAAAAAAAAAAAAGTAACAAATAACATACAATATTAACTTCTGCCCTACAAATGGATACAGACATATGCTTGTCTTCCATACATACAGAAAATAAATACATTTAACATAAAATGGCATTATTCCATAATTTCTTCTGTGTAGAGTTTGTCTTGGCCATACTTCCTTTTACCCCTGCTCCTGATCTCTTCTTCTTCTTCACAAATAAAGACACACATGCACACACACACACATACGCACACACACAATCTCACACACATACACACACACACACATACACACACACATACACACACACACATACACACACACACCACACACACACACATGCACACACACACATACATACACATGCACACACACATGCACACACACACATACACACACACACACACCACACACACACATGCACACACACACATACATACACATGCACACACACATGCACACACACACACACATAGACACACACATACACACACATATACACACATACACACACATACACACACACACACCACACACACACACACACACACACATACACACACACCACATACACACACACACACCCTCTAAAACTACCATCATCTGCCAAGTATCAGCAATTAATGGATGAGCAGTCCTTTGTGGGGTTGTTAACTCTGCCAGAATAGGAGACCTTCTGCATTGAAACATCTGGAAAGAGCTACTTATACTCCGCACCAGGTCTCCTCCGCCTGTGTTATTACATAGGACAGTTCTAAAGAGATCTAGCCAGTCACCCGAACAGCACTGAGTCGTGCATAGTTTACGTGACAGCATTTACAAATTATGTCTCTTGGTCGGAATAACTTACGCTGTGGAAACGCTTCCATATGCTAAAGTTGGACAGACCACAGTAACAAGGAAGAAAAGGGAGCCTCTGAGTAGCTAGCTTTCATAGATACAGTTGACTATAATATGTGCAAATTAATAACTCTGTCCCTAAAGAATTGCCGTTAGATGGGTTTATAATTTTTCTGCTCTTCTCTGCTAACAATCAAGAGTAGAAAATTTTACCACAAAACAATAGGTCCGCGAGAATTCAATTATAAATGTATTTATGTAATGAAAACAACTGAATAGCAACTATAAATCTCATTTTAATGTAAAACTCTATGATTTTTCTCCCAATTCCTTTGCTTCCTTCAAGTTTCAAAAGGAGATAGTTTCTACCTTCAAATTTCAAAATACATGTGTGTATGTATGTATACGTGTGTGTGTGTGTGTGTGTGTGTGTATTCCTGTGTATGTGCACATGGGTGGCCTGTATGTGGTTTGTGCAGGTAAAGCAAAACCTCAGGCACTGTTCTCAGTCATCATCCACCATTTTTTTTTTGAGGCACGGTCTCTCACTACTCTGCATTTCACCAAGTGGGCTATGGTAGCTTGCCGGGAGCCCCAGCCATCCCCCTGTCTTTGTCTGCCAATGGTAGGATTACAAAGGTATGCCTTCACTCCTGGATTTTCAAGTATGTGTTCTTGCAATCAAACTCAGGTACCCCACTAAATAAACTGTATTCTGAGCCCACAGTTAATTCCTTTCCATCCTGACCAGAGCAGAGGTTAGCAAACTTCGGCCTACCAGCCAAACCCAGCTCACCACCTATTTTTGTAAACAAAGCTTTACTGGCACACAGCCATGACTATTCATTTACACAGGACTTCTGGCTGCCTCCCTTCTCCAGGCGGAGTTAAACGATTGTGACAAAAAGTATGGCCCAGAAAGACTTAAAGTATTCTGGGCAGCTCTTTATAGACACAGTGTTGCAGGCCCGGTTAATAAGCATTTCCTCGGTCTCGCCTCTTCATGGATACACTGTTACAAGTCTAGTTAATGAGCATTTCCTTAGTCGTCTTCTTGCCTGCCTGAGTGGATGCTGCTACTGCCAGCCCTGCTACTACTGCCAGGTTTTGGGGGATCCCCAGAATGACAGCCACAGTCACAAAAAGCTCTAAGAAAACATTGAAAAGCAACCTAGCACCCAAGGAAACCCACGTGGCCTTCTTTTCTTGGATGAACAGCAAGAACCCTGGCAGCCAAGACACATGTGTTTATTATGTGCAACAACTGCTCTGAAATGTCTTTCCCCCAAGTGAAGAAATCTATAAATGTCAAGGGTAGGGAGGGAAATAGCCTCCAATTGCAAAGTTCTTAATAATACTTTGACAAGGAGGTACTATATACCAAGATATGATACTGTTTTGCTTAGTGTTTTAAATTCAATACTCTAAAACAACCAATAAACCTTTCTTTTTCTGTTACCAGGAAAAAAAAAATACTTGAGAAAGACGAGAGGGATGGGAAAGATGGTTCAGCAGATAGCGACGCTTTCTACCAAGACCGATGACCTGAGTTCAAGCCCCAGGACCAGCACAGTGGATGAAGTGACTCATACGTTGTCCACTGATCTCCACATGTGGGCCTTAGCATGTGTGCCACATACATCTACATACACATATGCACAAATACATGCCACATACATCTACATACACATATGCACACATACATGCCACATACATCTACATACACATATGCACACATACATGCCACATACTTCTACATACACCTATGCACACATACATGACACATACATCTACATACACATATGTACACATACATGCCACATACAGCTACATACACATATGCACACATACATGCCACATACTTCTACATACACATATGCATACATACATGCCACATACAGCTACATACACATATGCACACATACATGCCACATACTTCTACATACACATATGCACACATACATGCCACATACATCTGCATACACATATGCCCACATACATGCCACATACAGCTACATACACATATGCACACATACATGACACATACTTCTACATACACATATGTACACATACAGCTACATACACATATGCACACATACATGCCACATACA